GCGCACCGTTTCGACTCTTTTGTAGATTCGGAAACCTAACAAGACTGTGGTGAGAATCGTGTTGGTTGGATGAACGTGTGCGAGAACGCAAATTGTACAACAAATAGACATTCATCTTGTGTGCAATAGGCTTTGTAACGCCGTCCATTACTCTATACAACGCGAAACAGACGGCTGCATCTTCTATTGAAAACGATGACGGATTGGGTTATGTCGCTCTTACTCGAGTTGCCCCAGTCATTGGAGAAGCTGCGACTTAGGTGCTACCCGTCGTCGCTTTCCATTGCTGGTGCGGCCAACCCTACATATAGTATATTCATATTCAGTATCAAGGACGTGGGATTTCATGTGTACCAAATTTACTTGAATATACTCGGATGTGGAGCATTTCTTTATTTTTGCGATTAAAAGGGCCATATTTTTTTGATCATCTGGGCCATTTTTTATTCAATTATCAGGGGCGTTTTTTATATCGTGATTAAGTGGGGCATTTTCGTATTCCTTTTTCGTCGACTTCATCGGTATTCGGACCAATTTAGCCGTTTTGCAATCTCTATCTTCCAAATTTAAACAATACTGTATTCGATCTTAGTTTAGTAAATGCTCGAGAGTTCATGATAGCACTGATCAAGCAATTCATTAGTTTGGGTGTTATTGTTGCCTTTAGAGACGCAGTTCAATGGTTGTCAGATGGCAAACACTGTTCAGCCATCAAACAGAAAATTTTATGTCATATGTAGAAGAAGTTGGATTGAAAGTCGTTTGTTGACTAACCGAAGTACTATCGGATCTTACCCTCTCCTTCCCTGTTCTGCAGAAAACTAGCTAAGGTGATACTTATCCCGTATGTAGATTCTGTGAACCTGCGTTCAAGTCAGTTTCAATTTTGGAACGCTTGACAAAAGCTCATTGCACGTACTTTAATATCGATGTGTACCAATACCATTTGTATATACCAAATACCACAATTTGGGCCAGATGCCACACATTAAATCAAATACAAATTAATTGACGACATCATTTTTAAATGTCTTACACTTGGTCTGAGCTTTTGGTATCACCAGATTGTCGTTGATGTGAATTTATAGCCAGAAGACCACCTGAAAAGGCATCTATTTATCTTGTGAAGTACATCGCCAAATTTTCTCAAATACTTAGGTGTTAGAGATGGGTTTAATGTAGACAAACGATCTTCATCTAAATGATCCAATGCAACCAAACTTTGCTACAATTATGTATCGACAAGGTAAAAGTTACGTTTGTATCTCCCGTTGGGATTCTATCAATCCATGTCCGTCGTCCAGATCGGTCTGCATTACCCCAAATCTGTATCCACATTGTTGAATCAGTCGCAAACATATTTGAGCTCGATTATTCATGTGCTATCATTGTTAATTAACGTGTTGTGAAGTCATCATTTTCTCCATGATGCTGTCATCATTACTCCTTACCATGTTCATAGTTCCACGGCCGTTAGATAGGCTACAGATTGATCTATCCTTTTTGATAAGAGGTCGTAATACACACCGTTCCTCTTAATCGATGTGGATTGGCCACTTTGTACATAGAACAGATCCTTCTGACGTATCAGCACCGATCTGGCACATTGACTTGTGTCGAACAGTCAATCTTGAGATATCAGAACGTTGGCATACTGACGAAATCACCTTATTAGGCATATCTTGTGATCGTTCTGGTCTCTTGATTGTGCCTAGGCGATCTCGATCGACTACCGATCTCCACAATGTTTGAGCTCGAAACGAAGCACTCACTTCATCACAACACACGTCTCCCTTTACGGCGATAACAACAATGCCTTGACTGCTTTCCCGCCGACGGCCAAACCCCTAGTCTTGTCGTAAAATATTACCTTACATACCATGCCAGTGTTATGATTATGCGCTCGTTAGACGGTCCAAAAAGTACTAGCGTGAGTAACGGACACCTCACTAAAGAAGTGATGATAGTGTACGTTATCTTTACAAACGAAAGTGTGAATTGGGTACTCTGAAACCCTCAAGCAGTCGATGGCGGTAGAGGAAGCGTCTATATTGGATAAGACCAGCCCTATTCAGTGGATAGGGGGACATGTAGACATTGTGAAGTTTCTGCATACTTTTCTGTAAATCCTTGCTCTGATTGTCATAACTTGCACAATGTATAATGAATAACGTTTTGCTTCTACCCGTTGCGCGCATCTAGCAATAATTGGCGCGGTTGTCGGTTGATAATATGGTCCATATCGACCATGGAGTACAGAATTCTCACCTGCTCTCTAAAATAGCACCTCTAAAGTCAATATTCTTATAATATTACTCTCGACGTAGTTTTGCTGAATAGCACTGCTGACAAAACCTTCGCGTAGAGACTCATCTAGATAGTGTCATGCAACGATGTCACCAATTTCAAAATGACATCAGCATAAGTGATGTATGGTCAACTTTGACTGGAACTGCGCATACTAGAAGATTGAAAGTGCGCAGGCTTGAATATGTAAAGGAACGAGGACTTACATGTTCGGCGGGAGCGTGCACGCACTGCGAACTACTGGAAGTCTATCGAGCGACGTATCTTATTTCGTCAAAGTGCTGACACAATTGGTAAGACGTGAGGTCAAGATGATGATACAATACTGTGATAAGGATTGCAATGTCGGGCATCACGTTTGCGCCGAAGTTCTGTCGAAGTTTCAGGGATACAGTATACTTCATTCTGCCTTATGCGTTTATGCTAGTCAGGCGATAAGAAAACAATAACGCTCTCGCTTTAGCAGGTAGTTCGGTACGCTCTGGAAGAAATGGTTTCCGTGCGCAGTGGCCGAGTGGTTAACCATTAACACTGGGATCGTGAAGTACCTGGACCGATTCATGCGTTCCAAGTACGACTACAGTTGGCCGGAGACATGATCTACCGCTATCATACTGTTTGGCGCACACGCGTCATCAGCTCGACACGAAATCCTTGAAGTACACACCTTAACTACTCGCGATCATGCGTGCAAAGAGCAAAGAGCGACAACTACTGTGTCGTAGACAGCATCGTCTCGCTCTCACGTACGCACACGCGGTATTGCCAAACTCAAGGAGTCTTCGTGTGTTCGTGTACCCCTCTTCCGTATGTGACAGGTCGTCGGTGCGTTGCTGCACTCTTTGTTGAAAGTTGGCAATCCGATCTACAAAAGGTGTCGAGAGCCGCAGTTGTAGACGAGCTCAAAATTCATTTTACCCACATACAGAGTCATTCCCATCTCGGGGGTAAACCGCCACTGAAGTACAGCGCACTCTTGCACGAGAGTTTGCATTAGCACGCCATCTCACTTCCTTCCTGTGAATCGAATTGGGCGACTGGATGGGTGAAGTAGGCCCTGCTCGAGAGCAGCGATCAAGTAGCGACCTATGCGGACGTCGTCCACCGATGCCAGCTCATTTTGTACAGCAAGTTGGATCGTTTCGAGCACCTGTTGTCTCCGACATCCTCAGCTGCGCACGTGGGCGAGTGTGTGGGCGTGTCAGGGTTTTCGAAACTACGAGGCAAGTCAGTGCACGAATGTTGAGACTAGTGGTTCGAGATACAGCGATCTGACCTCAGTCGGAGTGCCTGCAAAAGCTGCGCGTACTTTATTGTACGAGACCGGACGTGCGAATATTGAGGGACACAGCCACAACATCAGCTCGACGCTCGGGTTTGTCACAGAGGTGCATCTCCTTCGTCAAGATCCTTGACGACTGTCTCAAGCAAATTGCGAGTCGAGGTGCGGAGAATTGTTGTTGTTGCATACTGGCCAACTTGTCAGGGACTTTCCTGTCATTTTGTGTAAAGCACAGTGCTCGTAATCTATCGACCTAACTGGCGTCGCCCTGGTACTCGCGTTGCCAGTCTTGCTGGCAGCGAAGATCCAGACAGCCATCGGCATTGCGAAGAAGCGCTCGATTTGCAGGGATGTGTGTGTGGTTCGCGTGCGAGATCGCTCTTTTGTGGCAAGGCAAGGAGTCGACATGCGGTACACCAGAAAGATACTGCAAGACGCTCATGCTTCGCTAGCGCAACGCCCTGGAGACTTGGAGACAGGGGTGCAGGTATACCGACAGTCCACGCGACTGGGCAATCCGAAACAAGCGCGATTGTAACGCGAAGACGGATGCGACGAAAGTACTTGTGCATGGAGTAGAAGCTAACGGTGCGAGTGGTTGACATCAACAATAATAGGAGGAGAAAGAATGCAGGGGAGAGAGGATGACATTCTAGTGGGAAGCGGATAAACGAGGAGATGCAGCCAATTCCCACCGAACAAACAATTGTTCATGCTCCAAGTGCGACTGCTTGCAAAAAGTGCGACCTCGAATGGGCCTGTGCCGGATAGCTACTTCATCGAGGGCACCAGTGGCATCAAGCTCAACGAGAGTAGGCAGAATGCAGACATGAAGGATTCTTCGTAATCACAGATGACCGAGGTTTGTAGATAAACGTAACTACTGGAAGTGATGATGGCGTCGTTCCAGTCGTAAGTAAGGTGTGGAGCTTGAGGCCATGACAGAGTCGTACGCTCCGTGTTACGGTCCTGCCAGCAGTAGAGCATGGCACAGCCCGAGCCCGTGCAGCAAAAGACTGTGTCAAGTTTGACAACTCAGACCGTTAACACCATCAACTTGTCTCGAGCCCGTGCAGCAAAAGACTGTGTCAACTTTGACCGTTAACACCATCACTTTTCTCAGCTTTCAGTCCTTTCCCTCATCGCCGTGCGACAATGCATATCATACGACGAAGCAGCGGCACAACAGCGTCCTCTGCCGGAGACGAAGTGTGGAAAAGCCGAAGAAAACGGTACAACGTACGTCCCTTGCATCTCCATTAGCCTATACAGAGACGACGCACTGGCCAATTACACGCGCAGTACAGTGAACATAATCATAACGCCATCAGCGACCGCAGCCTTGCAGTCGGCTCGTGGTACACCGAATCCACGTTTCTTGTCGCAGCTCTTCCCATCCGTACTCGCGGGACTACGCAAGTGCACATTGCTTGTGGAAGTCAAAATCGTAGATCCATCGACGAAAAACACTTTCCAGCTCGTCGAATGAACAAAGCGCTTGACCGTCGCACTCGTTGAATATCACTTCACGCTCATTGAGCAATGTCTTCACCTTGAACGTCGGTCGTGCGTGACCTTGGCTGTTCTCAGCAACGCACTCGTAGAGAACAAAGCCGATGTTGGCGGAAAACGGGGCCAGTTCAGAGCTTCTGAACTTTCGCTGTAGAGCTAGATCCAGCGGGGTGTCCGCGCGGAAGTGACCCGCACGATCGCTAGCATGCAAGTCGAAGTAGCTGACGTTCAAAAGCGATGCTAGCGGTAAAATAGTCTCGGCATGAGCGAAGCGAAAGTACCCTTCGACGTCACTCTCACCATGCACGCGTTGCTTCATGGTACGAAAGATATCCTGCAGCAGTGGCGATGCAATTGCGTAAGACAGTGCATAGCCGTGGCTTTTGCGGTAAAAGTGCTTGAGATCTTGAAAGTAGTCCATAGACAGCAGCATCTCTTCGTCAAAGAGCGAGCACCAATTGTCATAGACACCAAGCACAGCCACATCAAAGGCACAGCCAGCATACGCTGCTTCTAGATCCTTCTGCGTCACCTTGACACCGCCCGCTAGCTTTTGGAACTTTTCCAGATTCTCCTGCATCTGTGCACTATCGCGATACTTTGCGTGTTCTGCCGTAGCGCTTCTATTCTTGTCAATCTGCACCTCAAACGTCGGGCAGTTGTCGTAGAACCGCAGTACTTCATCGTCTCCAGTCGGAAAGCTATGGTAGTACACGGGCTGGAGACCGTCAAAAAAGCCAAACGCAAACGCTTCGGCGCTCTGCCGCGTCCGTATTTTCCACGTGTGCTCAAAGACAAACTTGCTCGAGTTGTACTGCACTGGCCCAGAAGACAGTCGAGCGCGGAGGCGCGCGCCAATGCCAATCAGCTCCTGGACGCCTCGATCCGCGAGCCACGCTTCGGTTCCTTTCGCGTACGGGTTCGCCCAGCTCTTCACCCACGACAGGGACTCCCCTGCACCGCTAGCAACGAGCCTCGAGTGCGTCTCGCGAATCCGCGCCACGTCCTTTTCCGTCGGGTTCCTTGTGCCGTGCCGGAGGACGAAATTCAGCTGCACAGGGCGGCATTGAGGGTCGTCAGTCGACGACGATTTCTTCGACAAGAGCGGGGTGTACACTGTCTTGGTGGACATGTGCGAGCACAGCACGTCGACTTTTGTACGACACACGTCTGCAGGCGCGTGGCCCGCTGCTGCCACGAGCAGCACGAGCGTCCACGCGCACGTCAGGACGCGCTCCATGTTGGATCGCTGTTTTTTCCAGCCGGTTGGGTCGCTGGAGCTTGTAAAAAGCAAAATTTGGCGAAATCTTTCCGAGACAGACGAGGCCGTGCAAGTAATTTATGCCCGTGCTGCGGATCGGGACGGGCGGGTCCGATGACGTGGCGGGTCGCAGACCCGTCAACCGGAACCCGGGTCCACGCACCCGTCGCCTCTGTTGTGAACCGCTTGAGCTGCTCGTGACCCATTCCGACTTTTGCTTGGCCCGACGCAAGCCACAGACAGACACATTGACAGAGGAAGCAACTGCACCCGCAGCCGGTTCGAACATGGGTCTCCTCGACATTGTCCAGCCCGGCGTTCTCACGGGCGAAGACGTGATGAAGGTGTACAAGTACGCGCACGAGCACAAGTTTGCCATCCCGGCCGTGAACGTGACGTCGTCGTCGACGGCGAACGCGGCACTGCAGGCCGCGCGCGACATCAAGTCGCCCATTGTGATCCAGACGTCGAACGGCGGCGCGGCGTTTTACGCTGGCAAGGGCATTGACAATGCGAACCAGAAGGCGTCGGTGCTCGGGGCCATTGCTGCTGCCTACCACGTGCGCGCGATGGCGAAGCACTATGGCGTTCCAGTGATACTGCACTCGGACCACTGTGCCAAGAAGCTCTTGCCGTGGTTTGACGGCATGCTCGAAGCCGACGAGCAGTACTTTGCCGAGCACGGCGTGCCCCTGTGGAGCTCGCACATGCTCGACCTGTCGGAGGAGCCCATGGCGGAGAACGTGGCGCTGAGCAAGCAGTACTTTGAACGCATGGCCAAGATGGGTCTGATCTTGGAAGTGGAGCTCGGCATCACGGGCGGCGAAGAGGACGGCGTGGACAATAGCGAAGTGGACAATGCGTCGCTGTACTCGCAGCCCGAGGACATTCTGCTCGCGTACAATGAGCTCGGCGCGGTGTCGCCGTACTTTACGATTGCCGCGGCCTTTGGCAATGTCCACGGCGTGTACAAGCCTGGCAACGTGAAGCTGCACCCGGAGATCTTGGGCGATTTCCAGAAGTTTGTGGCCAAGGAGAAGGCGCTGGCGACGGACAAGCCCGTGTTCTTTGTGTTCCACGGCGGCTCGGGCTCGACGCCGCAGGAGATTGAGACGGCAGTGGGCAACGGTGTGGTCAAGATGAACATTGACACGGACACGCAGTGGGCGTACTGGGACGGTCTGCGCCAGTTTTACGAGGGCAAGAAGGACTACTTGCAGTGCCAGATTGGCAACCCCGACGGCCCCGACGTGCCCAACAAGAAGTACTATGACCCGCGCGTGTGGGTGCGCAAGTCGGAAGAGTCGATGATTGCTCGCTTGCAGCAGGCGTTCCGCGACCTGAACTGCGTCAACGTGCTGTAAGTAGCAGCCGCGTCAGTCGTCTCTCGTCACTTGCCTTCCAGCGTGTCCGCTGCCGCAGTCAAGTCGGCTCGATCGATTGATTCGTGGCTCGATCGATCGAGCAGGTAGGTATGCTATCCCGATCGGCCCGCAGCGTTGTTGTTGCCAACATGTAATAGCACAGTGTGTCTCTCCTTGTTGGGGAAGGACAGAGTACGAACGTGTGTCGTGTTGCCGCCATGGCAGATGTGCTGATGGTTTGTTTATGTGGCGTTGCTCGCTCGAGGAGCTAATTCACCTGCGGGTCTTGCGCAGTGAAGGGGCACGACTAGTAGTAGCACCATATCATTTCCCTCGTACCTGTCGCTGGAACGGACACATCGGACACGCTATGCGCCGTCGTCGAGGAACATCCAGGGGACCATACAAAGTCCAACATAAACAGACACTCCCGAACAACAACAACAACAGCAGCAACAACGTTCGAGTCGAGAACCGTCGATTGGCCCTCTTTTGTACCCGTCACACTTCCCCTTTCCCTCGTCCTTCTTCCCACCCAAGTCGACTCTTTTTTCTACCCGTCACAAATAGTACTCCTCCTCCTCCTCCTCCTACAACTACTCTTATTTCGACTACTACTACTACTACTACTACTACTACTATTTCGACTACTACTACTACTACTACTACTATTTCGACTACTACTACTACTACTACTACTATTATTTCGACTACCACTACTACTACTCCTCGTCCTCGTCGTCCTCTTCCTCGTCCTCTTCCACGGTCTGTGCCGCCCGCTCGCGCACGATGCCGCTCCACATGCCGTACCACTCGAGCATGGACAAGGAGGTCGCCAAAGCAGCGAGCATCCTGGACTCGTGCTTCCGCTCGACCGTGAGCGCAGACGCCGCGATCCCGGCCGAGCTCATCCAGAACGCCGCCGGCCTCGCCTTCCTCACGGTCGTCAAGGCAGGAATGATCTGGACGGGCAAGCTGGGCACGGGCGTGGTCGTTGCGCGCCTCGAAGACGGGTCGTGGTCGCCGCCCTCGGGCATTGGCACGGCCGGCATTGGCGTTGGCGCTGAGCTTGGCGGCGAGATCATTGACTTTCTCATTGTCTTGGGCTCGCCCCGAGCTGTCCAGACGTTCAAGCGAGGCACGCAAGTCTCGGTCGGTGCGGGGCTGGACCTGGCCGTAGGGCCTGTGGGTCGCACTGCTGGCGCCAGTGTCAATGCGGGAGGAGGTGGCGTCAGTGGCAACTACACGTACAGTCACGCCAAAGGCGCGTTTGCTGGCGTTGGGCTGCACGGCTCGACGTTTATGGTTCGAGGGGAGATGAACAGTCAGTTCTACGGCCGCAAGGTCACGCCCAATGAGATCCTGAGTGGCCAAGTAGCGCCGCCGCCGGGGTCCTGTGACGTTCTGTTTGAAGCCATTCGTCGGGCGAGCGGGCAACTCGGACTCGGTGGACGCCGGCCTTCGGCGTCTCTCGATGCAAGCTCGGCCGGCTATGCGAACAGCTATCGTGGCCGCACTGGGACGCCAGGTGCTGCGGATCATGCGGCTGCGGCCCGTGCATCGTTGACGGCGGGTGGTCCGTCCAGCTTTCGTGGCTCGAGCTACACTGGCAGTCGAAACAGCTACCATGGCCACACTGCGACGCCAGATGCTGCGGATCATGCGGCGGCTGCGCGTGCGTCGTATGCAGCGAGTGGCCCTTCGCCATTCTTGAGCTCGAATCGTGAGTCGCAAGTGCCGTCGACGTCGAGGCCCCTCCCACCAGCAAGCACCGTGGAGCCGGACCCAAATGACCCGCGACTGAAACGATTCACTACGTACAAAACGGAGCGGGAACTATACGCAGGGTTTGAGCAGCAGCGGCGTGGAATCGCTTCTTCCGTACCGGCTGAGTCGACGCACTCGCATCCGACAGATCCGTCGCTGAAGTACAAGTCGTACCCGGCGCCAGCGCCGAATGCAGCCTACACAGCGCCTCCACAGGCAGAAGCCATGTATAATTCGTTCGTGAAACCATCCGTGCCCAAGGCGCCGCAGCAGCCTGTGCCTCCCCTACCGCCGCCTGCAAAGGGCGCCGAGATGAAACGGGTGTACTCGGAGGTTATTGCTTTTGTGCAGACCAAGTGCCCCTACGCAGATCTGCAGCTGTTCAAGGATAATTGCCGACTCTTTGGGCAGGACACAATGTCGCTTGCTGCATATTTCAGCTACTTGCTGTCCATTTGCTCGCACTCGCTACTCAAGGAGCTCGTGCCTCGGCTGGTACGCCTGCTTCCGACGCAAGAGAAGCGCGAGCACGTCTGGGTATGTCCGTTGTATTCTTGTGTGGACCTTGTAGTGGTGTCGACTGTATTCCGTACCCGGATGACTCACGTGACTGTGTCGTGTGCTTTGACTTGGTAGACGCTGTACGTGCGCGAAGTGCTGCTGATCAATATCTGAGAAGCGTGAAGATAGCCGAGAGGCAGTTATTGATTGCAAGCGATGATGCTGATGATGATGACGATGATGGTAAAGCACAGACAAACTGGAGAAGAGACCGCAGTATGTTCACACAGTCTGGACGCAGCCATGCGTTGCTCATGACTGACCGCCTGTGGTCCCAAGTGATTGTTGCTTATACACACTAGATTGCATTGTTGATCGTGCACCTTTGCGTGTTGTTGGCAGGGAAAGCTCTAGAACGAAGTGTCGCGCTGTTGTTGCTGTGACGACGACTTGGTAGAGTGAAGTCGCGCGACCAGCTTTAATCGCTCGTTTATACAATCTGGCGCAGGAAAAAGAAACAGAGTGCGTCGCAGTTTGTTCGTAGTGTTTTGACAGAGAAGGAAGCAGCAACGAGAACAAGCTGTCAAAGGGATTGGATGCTATGGGCTATAGGCCGTGACGAAGAGCTTTCACCCGATCGTTGTGACATCGATACGGTGCTATGAGTGCGCTCTGTGGGGTTTGTCCAGGTTCGCAGGTGACAAGAGTGCAAATAAAGACGAGTGGCGGAGTTTGATGACGCATCCGACTTTGATGATGAGTTCGTGGCGAGGATCGGTCATGTGGATGCGTGTGCTAGTACAGCTCTTCGGGAATGACTTGAGTCCATCGATCGCTCTCGACCCGATGCGAAATGAGCTGGGTACCAACTGAGGTAGACGATCGCGCCCGTCGCAGGCGAAGATGCATCATGCAAACATCCCCGAACACCATGATATTTCTCATTGTATTGTGCCCTCTAAACGTCTGGATGATGCAGCCACAACCTGGAATCTAAGACAAAGCTATTTTGCTTTGAAAGTGCATCTTTTTGCGAAGACGCTTCTTGGCAGGGACAGAGGCTGGCTCATATCCGCATGCTTCACACTGCTGACATGTCGACTCGTTGACTAATGTACACCGAGAGCACTGCCACTCACTGGCCGCTTCGTCCGCGTCTTCAACGGCTTCGATCGAGTCATCTATTGTCGAGTCGGTACCATCGGCATTTCGTGCATGTTTGCCTAGGTTGTCCTGCTTTGTGCTTTCATCCTCTAGCTCCCGTTCTTCCTCACGGTCTTCGACCTCGTCTTCCAAGACGACAGTCTCTTCTGTGGCGCTCTGAAATTCAGACGTTGCGTCCGGTGAAGCAAATGCTGGAGCAATTGCCCGCTTGGTCTTTACCTTCGCCTTGAGAGGCGTTACTGCCTTTGCTGCATCGCCACAACCTAAATCTGCTGGATCCCTCTCAGCTACAGCACGCACAACATCAGTCAGGTCATCGTAGCGGTTTGCTGGCGATCGTTCTCGCACAGATCGAGACGGCAGCTCGACACGAATCTCATGTGTCACGGAGTTGACGTAAAACTCCTGCTTCATGTTCGTGTCCAATGCACAAAAGTGACGCCACACACCCACAGACGCTCCTGCATCTCCCCCCGATACCTTCTTTTGTGGAGTATCGATGGAGGGGACACTGGCTGACGGCGGCGTTGGAGGTCGTTTGCCTGCTTTTCTGTCTGCAATATCCTGTCGAAGTTTGTCGAAGTTTGCGCGCATCTGTACCGACACACCCGACGCCGGCGACACCGCAATGTTCCCACTGTCATGATTGTCGCTTCCACTTTGAGTGCGTTTCTGTGCATCAGTCTTGGCTTTCTGCTGCATTCTCGCATAGTGGTTCCGCACCACTTCCTCTCGAACTTGTGCCGTGGTCTTTGGGTTCAGGGAATCCGCCTGCGCGTTCGACAGGAGCACAAACTAGATACACACACACGCACGCGTCATACACACACCAGCAAACGGACAAAAAGACAGACAACAAGAGTCAGAGCACCGTACAAAACAACACAACGTCACCACTGGCCAGCACTGCGTCACACGAGCAAAAGCCGTGCCACACACATACACAAGTGGCTTGTTGTCCCCACCTCTTTGTGAATCTGGATAATCTCCTCCCGGTTTTTCGTCGGGACTCGAACATGAATCACGTCCAGCAGTTTCCGCACTTCCTTGTCCTTCATGACACTGTACGACAGCAGCGGCATCCGCTCTTGGCCATTGTCCCACTGCTTTGTCTTCTTCTCCTGCCCCCTCTCCACGTCCAGCAGCACAGGCGTCACGGATGGCAGCGCTCGGGTCCCTTGCAGTCGCTGGAGCAGGTCTGGCTTGGACGCCTTGAACAGAAGCACCACTTGCTCCAACGCCCGATTCGGCACCAGCTCACGGGACACGACCGGCCGTTTGCACTCGGGACAGCACCCGTGGGCGCCTTTGCTCTGCAGAAAGCGACGCACACACGTCGAGCAAAAGGTGTGCGAACAGGGCAGGAGCACGGGGCCGTGGAAAAAGTCCCCGCAGATCTGGCAGCGCAAATGGCGCTCCATCTCGTGCTGGGCCGTGCAGTCGGCGGGCCATTGCCACTCGTCCAGCAGCTCGTCCGTGTCGTCGCTTCGGATGGTGTTCTTGATCATGACGGGCAGTCAAATAGTATCTACGGGAGTGAGTATGACAAGGAGGAGGTCATGTCGCGCGATGGTGCTCGATGGCGGTACCGTATCGTTATGTAGAGAGAGCAGGAAACCAAGGGGGTACACCCGAACTCCCGCTTTCGTACCGGTTTTCCCCACCACGACTGCCAACTGTGTGTCAGTTTTTCGTCTACTCAGGCGGCGATTGGGTCGAAACGACCCAACTTGGGCTCCTCCCGCAGGACCCAGTGCTTATTTTGGGTTCCACCACGCAGTAACCCAAATGACAACGCATGGCTTGGCAGCGCTTGACGCACAGCTGACGACGTACTTGCAGCAGCTCCAGGAGCTCCAGGACAAGAACCAAAAGCAGCATCGGTTCCAGCCTACGTTCTGGCTCCAGCAGACGGACTTTGATGTCGCGCGAGAGGTTTTCGTCACGGTACATACGACGCCGCTGCCGCTGCTGCTGTCAATGTGGATATGGCTACACACGTCTTTCATGGCTACACAATTTCTTTTTTGGGTCTACAGTACTAAATTGGGATACCTTTTACCGTCACTGTAGACTGCTGCGGCGATTGGACAGACGGTGACCAAGCTCTCGATCGTGTACAGCAAAACACCAAGCCAGGAAGAAGGCGCGAGTATCTGCGACGCGCTGGCTAAGCCGTGTGAACAGCTGCTGTGCGCCACGACCGTTGCTCTGTTTTGTGGGGCCGGACCGTCGCTTGCAGCAGAAGTGATCAACAGTGCAATGTACGGGACACTTTGTTGCTACATACCTGTTGAAGTGGGGACTTGACAGCTGTGTGCTCGTGTCTGGACGTGTTGTTGTAGTCGTTTGGTCAAGAGCGTGCACACTCTTGTACAGAGTATCGAGAAAGGCGATCTCGACCACGTTCCACAGCTCACGGGCCGTGTGTGGGAGTGCTCGTCGCTCAGTGTGTCCAAGTCCAATTGCGTGGCGTCCAAGCGCAGTATGTTACAGGTACGAGAACAAGAGAGGCCGGTGATTTAATGAGTCTTCTCGTTTGGTGTGATGCTGATCACTGTTGCTTTGTTTTGCTTGCTCTGCGACGGCGTTTTCGTTGTGTTGACAGTGCATCGCACTGCTAAACTCGACGTTGGACGAGCTCAATGAGTTCTTGGTTGAGCAGGACGAAGGCGACAGCCAAGTCGCAGTATTCGACGATGTGGAGCAAGACGACGAATTTGCTTTTGACTCGAGCTTGGCGGACAACGAACGCGCGTTGTTCACGAGCAGCCTCAAGCTGCTGTCGATGTGTGCTGCCATCATGAAACGTGGCGTGCTAACGATCCGAAAGCTGACGATAGCGAATGGACAGGACGATTTTCTCCAGTGGACAGCCAAGCTGGACGTGAGCTACACGTCGGCACAGGATGCGATCGTGGACTTTGGTGCAGCGCTGTACCCGCCCATTGGAACGGATGACTTAGCAAGAGCTGTGGGGGAGTTGGAGGCTGCCGCAACAGTCATTCTAGCGTGCCTAAAAGCGATGCCGGAGTTGGCAACTTCGGAAGAAGATGCGTTGTCCGTCGGTGAGGCTGCTTTCGCGACGCAGCTCGCCATGGTGAAGAGCCAAATAGAGACCTCTCAGTAACTTGCGTCATTCTAGCCTTGCGAGCATCATCTACTCATCATTGACCTCCACCACGTGCGTCGAGATTGCACTGCCCATTTGCGACCTCCTCTGCCAGTGCCTATACAAACGTCCACGTGAGATGACGTATACACCGCAACAACAAGACTCGCCGATGTGCGTGTGCACAGAACCGATTGTCCCGAGCAGCAGAATGAGTCGCTCATCTCGATTCGTATCTACGTACGCTTCGATGCTGTGATCAGGCGAAGGTGAAGTCGGAGCAGTCAAGCAGTGCTCATCACGGTGGAGAGTCGATCATGACATCGTCCGACGTTCAAGGGACTGCACCGTGACATTTCGTGCAAATGGTTTTCACTTTGTTTGCAGGAAGAGCTCTACTTCTGGTGCGTATCCGCATGGGTTTCGGATGCCTATCACTCGCGAATATGGTTTCATAAGACAGGTAAGCTTATGTTCGACGGCGATATGCACACTGAAGCCTTCGTGCCCGTGCAGGTATACTGAGTGAAAGGCAGGACAGTAATCCTCAGTGCGTCCGGATCCGAGATACGAAAAGCGTGGCAAGGTGTGTGCAGTGCGTCAGCAACGTACAAGCGAGCTATCGGCGAATTTCACCGCAGCAGACTACGACATGGTGCTGCAAGGCTGTGCAATGTGCTCTCTGTCGAGCGGTAGAAGTGTCAAAGTTTCTCGACATCGTGTCGGAGCTTGGCAGCTTGACAGCCGGCGACGGAGATGCAATGTACCGCAAAGGCATATTGATGTGGCAGTCGTGCCCAGAGATGCTGCTGTCGCGATGGAAGGAGCCGACGGCAAAAGACGGCAATTAAAGTGCTCGAAGCTTCGGAGCGGACGTTTTGTCAACGTCGCAAGAAGAGTAAGATGCAAGAAAAAAGCGCTGTCGGGGCGCACACAAAACTGTTGACGTATGGAGAGGAGAGACACTGTCGGTGCTTGAACAGCTGCTGGTACGCCTGACGGAGTGACTCGGTAAGTCGAGCTGCGGTGAAGGTATTGTGTGGCGCTTGTGCTTTGGCAGCATATCCTGTCTAGCTTCCGTGCTCGCGTGTACGTTCGAGAGAAGCACGATGCAGTCTCCGCCACAGCTGAATCGATGCTGAGCACAGACGTGTTCCGCGTCAGGATGCATAGGACCGGCGAGGCTGTTCGGAAGAAAAAGAAGACAAGAGCAAGAAACGATGGTGCGTCTGATGGAGCTCGTGCTCAATTGTGGACAACCCGGACGCCATTTACTAGATGCAGCGAGCTCGTGTTGCCCGTACTGTACCATTTCGGCCTGACCGCAAGCACACATGGCCGCATTTTCGAGACTAAACACAGCAATATGGCTTTTCGATTGTTTACTTACACCTGATGTTGCAGTGCTTCTGAGTGGAGCAAGAGGTCGGCTCGCTACTTGTGCGTGTGTTTTGTTTGCGATGTCAGTGACTTTCTACATGGTCAGCGATGAGTCAACGCCAAGTACAGTACAGCACAGCACAGCAACGGGCACTGCTATCACCTGCGCGATACTATCGGACATGAAGGTGCACGACACCGTCTACATGTACTGCAAACAACACCGCTCGCTTGTCAAATGCAGACACCACCACCACCACCACAACAACAAAGCACGTACACCTGATTTGTCATCGCTTGGCCCCGATCCCCCTCTCTACTCTGCTGCCATCTCTCGCGCCAGTGCGTTGCGTCGCACATCAGAAACACGTTTGTCGCGCCCACGTGCCCTTGCGCTGCACGTCTTGTAATCTTTTCTGCTTTCGAAACTTGCCACGCGAGTGAGCAAGTGACACGCCCGTTGGCACGTGACGTTTCCGTCGCCACTGCGCAGCACGTGACTGCGTTTGCGCATCGCTCTCCGTTCCGTTCCGTTCCGTTCCGTTCCATTTGTTCGTTGGATACGCACGACGGCATAAACGCAGTCTTCTTGCGCATGTCTCTCGCACGACAACCACCTGATTCCACCGCGCGTGTCTCCTCACTGACTCGATTCCGCCGCGGCTTTGGCACAAAAACGTTGGTCAACCAGTCTCGTCTACGGCGTAGAGACATTCGTGCGACACTCGGGGCAGTTGTTCCATTTTTCTCGAGCTCACGGCCCGGATCGACCGGTCCACGCCCACTCACGACTCGACGACAGTTGACCAAGAGCTCTTTGTGCGCTGGGACACCGTTTCGCGTCCCGATTGCACATGTCACGTCCCTATTGCCCATTGACCTCACGCGCAATGCCGCGACAGAAAGATACAAAGCGCATTGACCCCACGCGCGCGCGCGCCCGGGGCAAAAGGCCGATGCGGCCGAGCCCCATAATGTGTTCAAAGTGAGTGGCAGCCCCATTATCAGTCCACGGTCGATTCGCCACTGCGTCGAAGCCGACCGGGACGGGAACTTGACCTCAACGGGCGGCGTGTCACTGCCTGCATCGCCGTCTCTAGCCACGACCAGTGCCCTTGTAGCTGCTACAGTTGCTGCAAAAGCAGCGCAAAAGGCGCTTGCGGCTGAACAGGCTGCTAACGCTACTTTGCAGGGACTCTCTGGCGTGCAGCTCGTGGTGCATCAGATGCTCGCAACGCACACGCATTCGTTAGCGCAGCTCGACGTGGCAAGAGCCGAGTTCCCAAACACCAGGTTGTCGCTGAAACAGGTCGAGATGATGCTGCGGCCAGTGGTGACGCTGTGCAATGCCCTGCGCGCAGAACATTTTGGGATCCACGTGCCGACGCCAGAGATTGCGCGCACAATGAATGACGTCCACTATTGGAAGCTGTGGGAGTCGGACTGGATTGATATTGGCATCTTTTTCATGCCGCCGAAGAGCACCATCCCGCTGCATAACCACCCGGGCATGAGTGTCGTCACGAGAGTGTAAGAACGAAAGCGGACTTGTTTGGCATGTTGCGATTGTGGCGAGCAAGTCGAGTGAATGACACGTGTGGCGGTTGTTTGCTGTTGGTGATGCTGGTGGTAATGGTGCTACTAGACTCTATGGTGTTGCTACGGTAACGTCGTACGATATCCTATCGGACGCCGAAGTACAGACGCTGGAAGCAGGAAGTGAAATCGTCTACGGGGACGCGACTTTTAGCTCTGAGTACGTCAGTTGCGTTTCTTGGATACTGTGCTGCATCCCTCACTTATTTGTGCTCTCTAGTGCTGTGAACCCGGACGTAGGATCGGTGTCGTGGGCGCGAATCAGTCGCGAGGGTCACTTTGGCCAGGAAACGACCACGTGGTTAGACCCCCCGTCGGTTCAACTTGCACAACATCCAGGCTAGCTCCGACATTGGCTGTGCAATGCTCGACATTATGGTGCCTCCTTACGACAAGTACATTCGTAAAACGCATTGTGGCCTGTGGTTAATTGGAGGTGACCAACTGCGATTCACCGAGCGGGTTTGTGTATTTGCTCTGCGTTTCCTGTAGTGCAAACCGCAATTGTCATCATTTCAAGATACTGGAGCACAAGATGGTGCGCAACGAGCGCATTTTCAAGATGCTGGAAAGTGTGAAGCCGGGCAAGCACATGGATTCTTCTCCTGCTGCAAATGCGTCGTCAACGTTACCGTGAAGTCTTTTCGGATCGAGCGTGCCATAGCAAGCTCTCTGGTATAATGTCCACCTTTGGCGATTTCTATGCCATCGACTACTCTTCGGTACAGCGCTGCTGAGTGATGAATGAATCAACTTGTGGGGGTGAGTGGGCTAGAACGGAGATAGAGTGAGAAACGGCGTGGCAGAAGTCGAGATGCCTCGTTTGCGACATACAGCACATGTACATTGAGTCCAATGTCCAGGACACTTCGTGCGATGGATGAGGGGACCACTGCAGTCGAAAACGGGTGGACGTATTATTCAAAGTGCCTGGTGACTCGTGTATATTAGTGATACAGGCCTTAGTTGCAGAGAGTATCTTGGTGACTAGACAGTGTCCACTAACGAAGTCTCCTCAGTTCTAATCGATGTATTAACGAACTCGTTACTGATAATATACATACAGCACCAGAGACCGCGTCCACGGCGCAGGCACAAGTCTAGAGTCGCGTCGTCCCGCCACTTTCGTCAGCCGCAGCAGAATCAGTGCTGTCAGCGTTCTTCATGTCAACGACTGATGGATACCGACTCTTATCCAGCGCAAGCGTGAGCTTCGGTGTATACGTGAACGAACGGAACTTTGTGCGCAGCGGGATGTCGTCGAGGCCCATCGCATTGATCACCTGTAGCTGCAGCTTGTTGTCCATGAAGCCCAGTAGCTTACGGGTGTAGACTGCGGACGCGTTTGAATCGGCCCCACCAAAATCTCGGCGATACCATTCGCACACGCGCGGTAGCACAATAGTGTTCGAGTCCTCTCGTATCTCCAAATGCCCTTGTGCTCGAGAGAGCCTTAGCCACGAGCGCACAACTGCATTTAGCTGATCGTGCACGGATGCCGGATCATATATCACTACTTCTTCACTGCCAGGGTGATTCACCACCAATGCCAGACTGAGACGGAAATCGGGATGCATGACGCCGAGTCCCTGCAATCGACTCCCTGGTTCAGTGACGGTCATCAACACACTCTTCACGGCCAAGTGGGGAAGCTCAGCACGGGGCATGCGGGCGCGCAGGATCACGTGTTCGATCTCTGCCAGTGATAGACTGACCTGCTCTCTGTCCGGACCACGGCTCAATACATAACATGATCGCGTAAGAAAGTGGCTCCAATGGCCTTTGCTTCGCGGAAAGCCGTGAGCAATCATCGCGTGAGCGAGCACCGTGTGATACAGGTTCAAGTAGAAAGCCACCTGCTCTTCGTGAGAACCCGACTCATGTAGTAGCTCCAAGTCCACTGCTCGCAATGCACTTGCGTCGTCTAAGAACGCCAGTGCGTCGTTCACTAGAAGCTGCTGCGCGTTGTTGAGAACGTGGACTGCACGCGTCAGTGTGCGTTCTACGAGTGCGAGGGCACCCGATATAGTACCAGTGAAAAGCGTTTCGATGCCTGCTTTGTCACTGGCGTCGCCCCTCTGCGGGTATTGGCACTTCATGTGCGGAAATAGTAGTCGTGAGTTAAGTTCGACACGGTTGGCGGGCCGAAGCGCAGTGGATGTAGCAAAGTCGATGCACATCTCGCCTTCCCGCGCACGGACAAAGTTCATCGTGGGATTATAGCATTGCGAAATGCCTCGCACCCAGGCATCCCGTGCAGAACACGTGCCGACACACAGCACAATCTCCTCTGCGAACGTACTGACCTGCAACGCAAAGGCCCCATCAGTCCCACTCGCGCCGTCACGATACGCTGCAAATGAAGGCATCTCCACAGCTCGAGCGCCAATGACGTGGGCGCTTGGCACCTGCTTCTCCGCGCTGGAAGCGAAAGATCGATAAAACAGCAGGGCGTCGTTTGTGAGCAGCAGAACCTCCTGTCGCAACAGTTCAGCAGAGTAGTAGCGGTACACCACTCCCTCGAAAATTACACCCATGTCTTCGCGGTCGTGGCGACTGAGGTTCACGCCGATCCGAGATGGAGACAATCTTGTGCTGGAGGCACACAATTCTTGCAGCCTCTGACGCTTCGTAAGACATCGGTAGAGTGCAGCCTGAGCTGCAACAAGACGCACTTCCTCAAGACATTTCTGCTCGTCTCCACTTTTTCCTTCACTGAATGAATCCGTGTCACTCATGCAGCTGCTGGCATACGACGGTGGCGCTGATGGCCGGAGTGGCTCGCTAGCCAGCCTCTGAAGGTGCAATACGACTTGCTGCACTTCTGTCGAGATCGTGCTGTAGCTGCCAATGCGCGAGCGACTATGGAAACGCAGCTTGGCCAGCTCTTCAGCCACTTTGCCGTAACGTAACGCGTGACGACCCATTAGCAAGTGACGCAGCTCGTAGCTACTTACAATGGCAAGCCGGTAGCGCGACTGGAGTTTTGTGACCTCGTCGTCTTCCTCAAGTGCTTCTTCATCGTACTCGCCAACCTTATCTTTCACCGCAAACACATAGTGGACACGGCGCACGTCCGATGCCACGTTCACTTCTTCCATCCAACACAGGTACGAAAACGAAAGCTGTCCAAGTCGCCGGGCATGCTCAAGGCGCATAAAATCTGCGTGGTCTTGGGCCAGCACGGGATCCTCTTCCGTCATGGAACTCGCATCACTCAACGTCGTGCTCATTGTGCTCATCTCGGAGCCCATCATCCCACTCAATCCAAGTCCAGCTAGCATCGGGGCCCGTCCATCGTCTGGTCGAGGTCTGCCTTGTCGTGCCTCCTGCGCCGTCGTGGCAGTCCCTCCACGCCGACCACTCAGCTCCTGTCGACGCTTGTCGAACTCGACTTCAAACGAAAACAAATACTCCTTATCCTGCTGTCGATGGCGATCCATCACGACCCCCGCGGCCGTCGGACGCACGGCATACGCCACAAGACGCAGCGGCAACGAGTCGAAAAAGCTCGCAAGGTTAATGGCATTGAGGCCGCTCGGCAGGTTTGCCGTCTCCCACTTGACCAGGTCCACGTACATTGTATGAAAGTCGAACGTATACGTCGGTCCGACCCTCAGCGTTTCGGCCCCAACGGCCGTCTGCCGCCTTTTCTCGCGCGCGTCGTCGCCTTCGCCAAAGTCGCTCGTGCCCAACACTGGCGGCGTCTCTCCTTCCGGTGTCTCCACCAGTTGGTCCACCGACTGAAACAGCGGAAATGCCACTGCCGGCAGCTCGTCCACTGCGCCACCACTGCCGTCCCGTTCGCTGTCGACAGCGCTCCCAAAGCTAAAGCTCACGCGCCCCACGAGCCGTCGGATCAGCCGCATGATCACGAGCGCAATGCTGCGCGTGAACACGCCCAGCGCAATCTGCGCGGGCAGCTCGCCCCCGAGGTAGACGGGACCGGGCGGCGGCTGTTTGAACTGCCCCTGCACTTGGATCCAAAAGAGACGGCGCTTGCCGGCAAACAGCGCCGCGTGCTGCGGATCTTCGGGCTCCGTGCGCACCAACAGCAGCGCGTGGCCGACAAAGAGCTCCGTCTCGATCGACACGGGCGTGCGGGCGTTGAGCGGCACGCGGTGTCGACGCGCGGTGGACGTGCGGCGGACGCTCCCGACGTCACGCACGACGAGAGCGGACGTGCGGCCATTGGGCTCACTGTCATTGTCGTTGTCTTCGTCTTCGCGAAGTTGTACTTGTGGGTCCGCTGTTGCGTCTTGGAGCTCTCTTGGCCGGAGCTCGTGGGGGTCGTCCGCTGGTGTGGTGGACGCGTCCGCTCCACCGCGAGTGGACGGCGTCCGCCCGTCCGCCAGCCCGAGCCGCGGCTTGCCCCTGAGCTGCGCGCCGTGGTCGAGCAGGACAATGAGCAGCAGCGCGCCCAGTAGACCGTACAGTCCCAAGAGGTAGTGCACGGCCACGCTGAGCACTGCGAGCGCCGCGACGTCCGGCAGCCACTCGCCGAGTCGGTCGTCCGCCATTCCGTCCGCTCACCAAAGGAAAAGCAAAGTGCGGTGGGGGAGGGGGAGGGCGGGGCCGTTCTCGCCGTGTGTGTGGGGGGGGGGGGGCTGGCGGCTAAACTTAGCGCGACTTTACGCCCGAGCGAGCGAGAGAGAGAGGGAGAGCGAGCGAGTCGGTGTTGGCGTCTGGTGTCGTCTGGCGCCGCGCGTGAAGTAACTCTTGGAAATCGAAGGCGACTGCTGGCGGAAAGAAAACCGCTACAAAGCAGAGGACACCAACGAACGCACCGACGAAAAAAGAAGACGACGACGACGACGACGAAGCAGAAGCAGATGGCGGAAAGGGAAAGGAAACGGGGGCGCGGGGTGCGTAGTATCTGATACTACCGATCGCCAGGGGCGAGGCGCACCTCGAACGGAAAGATACGTCCGAGCATGTTGCGACGCGAGTCGCCACGGACTCGGACAGACAGAGCGACCGTGTGACGGACAGAAAAGAGCCATACTCGCCCAGTAAGGGCTGGCAACGCCCACAGACGCGACGCGTTGCATGGACAGTGCGCGCGTGCGTGTGGGTGTGTGGTCCACTCCTCAGACGTCACGCGCGCTCCGCTTATCTCCGATCCTCGCCGTCAGCCCCACACGAGTACCCTAATCCCTAAATACATACAGCCCTCGCGTCCAACTACGAACCTCCACACGAATCGTACTTCCGCGAGTAAACAGCAGGTAGTAGTAGCAGTAGTAGTAGTAGTAGTAGTAGTAGTAGTGGTTTGTGGTCGTAATCGTACTAATCGCAGTCGAAGCAGCAGTAGTAATCGCAGTAGTAGTAGTAGTAGTAGTAGTAGTAGTGGCAGTAATAGTACTCGAAGCGAATAGCCGTAGCAGTAGTAGCATTTCGCAGTAGTAGTATTTCGCCGTCGTCGTCGCCGGCGTCATCATCATCATCGTCATCACACAGTCTACGCGTGCACGGACGGCCCGCTCGCGTCTCGCCGACCACTGCGCGCCCCCTTCCCGTCCACCACTGCCCGCGACGCCGCCGCCTCGACGACAACGAACAATGGACGACCGCCGCCGCCAGCCCCGCAGCAGCGGCCACGCGCTCGCGACCACACAGCGGCCCCCGCCACGTCGGCCGTCCGACAGCCACCCGCCGGCTGCCGTACGCGTTCTGCGCGCGTCCCCGTCCCGTCCCTCGTCCGCGCCACTGTCCTGTCGCGTGTCCAACAACTTTAGCAGCGGCGCGGGCGCCAAGAACAAGCGCGCGGCGGACGAGAGGCAGTCGGCCGCCACCACCAGTGGCCCCGACCGCCGGCGCGTGACGGACGCGCTGCACGCCGACGTCGTCGCGTACACGACGTCGGTGCAGTCGACGGTCAAGCAACTGGCCGTGCCGATCGAAGCGACGATTGCCCACGTGCGCGCGAGCGTCGTGGCCCTCTGGCCGCAGGCGACCGTCGAGACGTTTGGGTCCTACGCCACAGGGCTGTGGCTTCCCAATAGTGACGTCGACCTCGTGGTGATTGTGCGGCCCGCGTCGGATTGTAGCCAATCACCCGATGCGACGCGCACGCCCGCGGACCAGCTGCGGGACCTCGCAGCGCTCTTGCAGACGCAGCCCTGGGTCGCGTCCCTCGTGGTCCTCGACACGGCCAAAGTGCCGGTGCTGAAACTCCTGAGCGCCCACACGGCCGTGCCGTTTGACATTACGTTCGAGTCGGCCGCGACGCACAGTGGACTGCTCGCGCGGGACTTGATCCGACGCTACACTGCCAAGATGCCCGAGCTCTATCCCCTTGCCATTGTGTTCAAGCAGCTTTTGCGGGAGCGGGACTTGAACGACGCGTACACGGGAGGGCTGAGCTCGTACTCGCTCGTGCTCATGCTGATCCACTTTTCCCAGCTCTGGCGCAACGGCGACGCGTGCTTCCAAGCAGCTGCTGTCTATGCCTCAGGAGCAATGCCGCCGAGGCCGTCGACACGTGCAGGCACCACGAACCAGACGATGACGACAGGACGGATACAAACTGACGTGGCTCCAGTGGACGGAAGCGCTGCAGACAACGCTACGTCCCACGGGGCCGATGCGTCGACCAGTGCAGCGCAGCGTCCGACCTTACGTCCTGCATGCACGACAATGACTGCACCTACGGAGTCGACTGCTGTGACGTCGCCAGCTCCAGTCTCGTCGTATGCGACGGTAGTGGCTCGTCCAATGCAGCAAACGCCGGACGGGGCGTCGCAAGAAGTTTCGGTGAAACGCCGATTCAGCTATGCTGCTGTTGCCGCTGGGATCGTCAACGTATCGGAGAACAAGCCAGCTGCTGGTCCGCCGTGCAGCTATGCTGCAGCGCTGACCGCACCCGCAGGGTCGTCGTCCACAGCGGCGGCAAATGGCAAAACCGTCGTGACGGCCACGAAGCAAGTACAGGATACGCGCTTGTTGGACGCAATGAGCGTTTCCAGCAGCAGCGCAGACACGGAAGACTCGAGTTCGTCGTGCAGCCACTCTTCTTTGCTGGACAGTGACGACGAGTCGGCCAAAGTGTTGTCTCCTTTGCCTCCGGCGTCACTTGGCGAGCACATTATGACGATCCTCGAGTTCTTCGGCATGATTTTCGACTACAGCAAGAACGGGATGTCTGTGCGCGATGGAGGGTATATTTACAGACTCGCGGACAGCCATCGCTCGCAAGTTGGCAAGCCAGCGCTCGTGATTGAAGACCCAATCCACCCGGACCGCAACGTGAGTGCGAGCAGCTTTGCTTTTTTCAAGGTCGTGGCGCTCTTCGAAGACTCTTTCTATGCCGTAAAGTACTACCGCGCATCAAAGTTCACTCCATCGGCCTTGAGCTGTTTGCTTGCTACAGCAGGCCGCACGAATACTAGTTCCAGCGACGCGGGGTCATAGCAGTGCTGGCGTTTTTGGTCTAGTGATGTTTTTCGCATGCTTCTTGCTGAGTGCACGACGGCAGGTGGTGGTCGCCTCGTTGTCCATGTTGTCCAAGCCATGACAAGCCACTTGGTAGTTTGTAGCATGCGAGGGAAGAAGAGGGTAGCAATTTGTAGTTTAGCAACAAACCAACGTAAATACAGTGAGGAATGAGTGCAGCGGTCGTGTTTTGCTCAGCGAGGCCGGCCAACACTATCTCCGCAGGCCAAGAAAACCTTCCCACGTGTTTCGCAAATCATAGCCTTTGGGTTGTATGGTTCGCGTGAGATGCGGCGTCTGTCCACTCGAGCAAGGGCGTATACGAGTGCTCCTGCTGGTGGTGAGTGGGGGGACCTGGATCTGAAGTTCCGTGTCGCGAAGCAAATTCAATGGTCAGGTAGCCAGCAGCTACCCAGACAGGAACCACGAGACCGTAATCACCGTCTGCAGTGAAGCCCTCAAGTCGCGTTGTTGCGCGTCCGTCAGCAGAACAGAACGTGGCTGCCAAGAGCGATCTGAGCTGCCACTTGATAGGATTCAAGCGCGTGAGAAAGCAGTTGCAATGGTGGGACGGGTCGATGGAGGAGGCAGACGGATGTTGATGCAAAGATTGAGCGAATGGGCCCGAGGAAGGATGACGAGCAGAACTAGACTCGCATGCACGCTGTCGTACGAAAAGCTGTGGCACGGATGCCGCGCGACTTCTGGTACAGTATAGTAGCTATCGACGGCAAAGCTGGGTACGAAGCTGCGTGTGCTGCGAGCACGACGACGTTTCCATGCGGATTGGCAACAGACCACTTTGACCACGGCACATGCACACTCACATGGATTGGAACATGTCGGCGAAGACATGAGGACGCGTATGCGCTTGTAGGCACCACATGCATGCCCAGCAAAAGGAGAAACACAATGGAACAATTGATTTGAAGCAAAAGGTGAACAGGGACCACGACGTGGCGTACGATGGTGGAGCAAAGATGATATGTATCACAAAGAGTTCACCTCAACCACCATCTACTCAGTGGGGCATAACGGGTGTGATACCCTTGTCCTGTCCAAACTGAGACCATCTGTTTAAGCTGAATCCAATGAACCGTTTCTTCCAGGCGATTGTCCCCGCCTCCATCTCCAGCCCGGCCCTCCCTTCTGGCTTAGAATGGAACGTCGTCTGCCATTTCACGAACAGCTCTTTCTCCGCGCGAACCACCACATCTTTGTTAACATTCGGCGCGTGTGCGGCCGCAATGAGCATGATCGCCACATCCAGGTTGCTGGAATGTTTTATCATCGTCTGCACAGCTTCACCCATGGGTACCTTTTCAGTAGCTAAATGATCAACAAGAGAGACCAAGTTCGAACTCAGAGCTTTGTCTGTAAGTTTAATTCCCGGCAATTCAGCCACATCGTATGACCGGGTGATTGAAGCCGGCAGATGTTCAAGTATCTTGTTCTGGGCGGCGGCACGAAGTCGTTCAAGTTCAGCCAGCGGAGCCTCGATCAATCCAGGTATGCTGCGATTCTCCTGATTCGTCGCGTTAGAAGAGAGCACCTCCGTAAGGTCGAAGCCCTTGTTCGCATGGACGACAGGTTCCTTGGCTTCTGGTTCAACGAGACCCGACGCGGTGACAGTACAAGCGAGAAGAACAGCACCAAAGAGAAGCGCGCACAGGTTAGATGCAACCATGTCTTGGCAAACAAAACGGACAGGCCGGTCAACGGGCACGGGAGCGCAAAACGAAAAGTAAGTTGAACGGGAGAGCGTTTGATCGACTACAAATTGAGTTTCAAATGTTATGCTCATCAGCAGAGTTAGTCGGCACTAACGCTTGGACGTGACACTGCTTGGTGCTGGAGCTGCGCAAAGTAAGACTCATTACATAAACTTGCCTAATCAGCGTCGACACCTGACACTGCTCGGTGCTGGAGCTGCACAAAGTAAGACCCATTGCATAAACCTTGCCTAATCAGCGTTCGGACCTGACAATGGTCGGTGCTGGACCTGATTGAAGTCGTGCGTATTAGACTTGGGCTAAAAAAGCGTCCAACCTGGACACACGTATGTCCTCGAGATTCATAAACTTGACCTCTTCAGCAGAAGATGGCCAGAAACAGCGTCCAGACCTGACACCGCTCGGTGCTGGAGCTGCGCAAAGTAAGACTCACTACATAAACTAGCCTAAATCAGCGTCGACACCTGACACCACTCGGTGCTGGAGCTGCGCAAAGTAAGACTCATTACATAAACTTGCCTAATCAGCGTCGACACCTGACAATGGTCGGTGCTGGACCTGATTGAAGTCGTGCGTATTAGACTTGGGCTAAAAAAGCGTCCAACCTGGACACACGTATGTCCTCGAGATTCATAAACTTGACCTCTTCAGCAGAAGATGGCCAGAAACAGCGTCCAGACCTGACACCGCTCGGTGCTGGAGCTGCGCAAAGTAAGACCCACTACATAAACTAGCCTAAATCAGCGTCGACACCTGACACCACTCGGTGCTGGAGCTGCACAAAGTAAGACTCATTGCATAAACTTGCCTAAATCAGCGCTCAGACCTGACAATGGTCGGTGCTGGACCTGATTGAAGTCGTGCGTATTAGGCTTGGGCGTTTAGACCTGGCACTGCTCTATGTTCAGTCTGCAGATACAATGCTCGTACGAAAAGGATGCCAGAAACAGCGACAATCGATAGGGAATTGCACAGTCGTTTGTATAAGACAAGACGTGTAGAAAGGAAAGTTGAATTCTTCTGCACCTCTTTGCCGGTGTTATTGCAAGCTCTACTTTCTTCTAGTGACGGCCATTATGTAGTGCACAAGGTGGAAGCAGGTCCTTACAAGCCTGTTACTCTAGCAACATATTCCGAAACTACCGAGGTTGATAGTCACAAGAGTATGTCGGCTGCAGAAAAGCTAATATCAGCACCGCATGTGTAGAACTTGAGTTGATAAAATAATGCTGGGTGTCTTCGAGTGCTAGAGATGGCCGACAAGACTTTGCGAGTGAGTGATGCTCGTGAATGAAGTATGAGTCCGCTCTTGAGCCATCTACACACAAAACGTCAAAATCGATATTAGTATGCGCTCAATTGTTCTCTACTTGTTCATGTGCGCTCATCGTTGTGAAAGTAGTGTAAACAAGGTATCTCGTCATGTGTTGGGTACTGCGACTCACTCTATGTAACGGACACAGGTAGCTATCTACGCACTGATAACAGTGCCCAGCAAGCTCTCACTGACTACAGGGGAGAACTAGTGTCCTGTTAGATAGCGTACACAGTACGCTTAGAGGAAGGCTTAGACTAAACGACGAGGCTTTGTCAAAGAAAAGGGCAAACTGTATTAATATAATTGAGTCCTCGATTGTGTCTTGTCTTGTTAGTCCTGTCATTATAACATTAATATCAAAATACGTATGGTGACGTCTACTCACCACCCATTGTGCGTGTCTAGCAGCAATTGGTGGGTTGATATAATGGCTATATCAACCAATGGGTCAATGCAACAATAACATTGAACTCAGTATTATTGTAATGGGAATATTCGACCAAATATTCTCGATTAACATTACTGTTGTAAATAATATTAGGTAACAGACTCACCCCATTACACTCTATACCTTCCACCAACGCTTTACCCTTATGACTTCCGCTCAAGTCAACCTCTGCAACGCCAAGTGAAGTTTCGCCATCGACCTCAGCGCGCAAAGTTGATCAACTCTGAAGACGCATAATTGACAAGTGACATTTACTCTCTCGTATAGGTAATGCACGACATCTTGATGTTTTTTCTCCTCTCACGAAAAGACGCCGTCGAACACGATGTCTCGAAGATTCCTTTGCTCTTCGGTAAGACGTGTAGCACTAGTGATATCATGTTTAGTTGAAAACTCGTAACACGATTCTTCCCTAAACACGAGAATTTTCACGTTGTCGCATCATACGAAAGCTGATGGGACGAGGACGTGGTAGACTTTCGACAATTTCAAGTTGCTCAAGTGCTTCTTGCTTACGCTGATTGCCGAAAGCTCTAGAAATTGCCCGGGCGCTGTATATGAACGGATACAGAAGATAAACGGGGTGAGGCCGTTACATGTGATTGACCCTAAAATGGTCAATTTGAATATTATCATGATTGATGGTGTTCCTCAATATATACCCTTATAAGTTAATATAGAAAGAGTATTACCTTCAAGGATAATACTTAGCACCACTTCACTTATTGATTGATGCAGACCTTGCTATCGAACGACTTAACCACAATCGCTTCTAGACGCGCGCAATTTGTGATAAGCGCGTTGCTACATTTGTAGTTTGTATGAAGTCAAAACAAGATTAAAGGGGGTTTATTTTAGAAGATTTATTACATTTGTAATGGAGCACTGGCAGTCACGTGCTAATAACAGTACGGAGCAAACTGTCACTGACAACAGAGTTTGTTAGTGCCCTGTCACCTCACGTACACGAGTACAGGGAAAAGCAAAATACTAGGATGATGGAGCTTAGTAGTAAAAAAGTAAAGCTGTATTACAAATAATTACGTCCTAAATTACTTCATGTAAATTTGTCTTAATTGGATTAAAATGATATGAAAACAGGTATTGTGGCGCTACTCACGACTCATTGCGCGCGTCAGACAGCGATTGGTGAGCCAATATTATTCCATGTATCAACCACTGAGTAGACCCTTGGGTCACCGCAAGAATATCACTATGCCTTGTGATATTCCGAGAGGGATATTCAACGTTGAAATCCCTATTATCATATCTTATATATGATAATAACAAGTAACTGGATCACCACGTTACAATATTATATACATTTCTATTCTTCATAACCCTATTCGTATTCATCAAAAATCAGCCTTCCTCTACACGTACCGTGCACGTGAGGTTTGGGAGCATCTGACAACACTGTGTAAAGTTCCGGTAGCTTGTACCGTGCCAGCACAAGTGGAGGGTGATCAGCTACATCTGGTAGCACGCCGTAGTCCGTACAAGGACCACGCACCCTACATCCAACATGGTCATTTTTGATGGGGAAGAGAGATGGCGTCGCGCGTGAAGGCTTATCATATTTTAGCGATTTCTAGTGGGCGGTGATCGAACGAACGACTTCGATCACTGGCGGACCTGCCGTTTAATCCATGCTGTCAATAATGAAAAGTGACGAGCAACATGCCGCAACCGCTAAGCTCATACAGCATGCACATGACACATCTCACAGAAAGTCCAGTCTTTCTTCGCCAGCAAGGTTCTCGAGGGAGACAGGAAGAGCTGTAGTAAAAACATTGGTCAAAACGGTTCAAGATGTAAAGACAGCAGAAAGCCCAGACTGCTGCGACTGGGCCGAAGTGTGTGCGTTGGCTCCTAAGATTAAACATACACAATTCCACGTTCAAGTAGGTCGCGGACGACCTCCTATCGAGATTTTTCGTCGAGATGGACGACGCCATAAGGACTGTTAGTATCTTTGGCGAAGATACGGAGTCCACATTCGCCGAATCAACTTGTCTGAGCGTGCCACAACTCCCGCTCTTGGGCGTAAGCTGCACGACCATGATCCGTTGGGTCGTTGGAGGTCTTCAAGACTCAGATGAGACAGATGTTGGAGCTGCCAAGGCATGATTTAAGGCTCGAGACGAGCTGCTAAAACTCTGAGGGGGTAATAGGAATGCGCATACTCACGTTCAGCACATCCAACACCTTGCGAATTGCATCACGGCCAATCGTGTTCACGAACACGCCCAGTAACGGTGTTCGTATAGAGTCTTGCACATGACCCCGTCAAGATCCATCTAGTCCGCCTGGAAATAGAAATGCTCGAGCAATCGATATTTGTGCAAAACAGAAATTCTTCAGCCTAAGCCAAGCTCACGTCGACTCGGGTTTCTGTTGTCCTCCTAGACAGTAAAATTTGGAGGTTCAGAACTGATGGGCATGTCATAGATGGAGAGGGAAAGATCCATCTCTCCTGGATACAAGCGATTGTGGAAATGCAATTGATTCAGAAGGCAGGGCGCTATTCCTATGAATGCAGTGCACCGAATCCAGTACAACGTAAAAAGTACGGAAATACCTTCACTCGACCAAGAAGAGGATGAGACAGGAACCCGATGCTAATTAGATATCGCAGCAGCTAGAGGATCGTCAAAAACCTGAAGGAATCAGTAAGGGAGGAGCGCCTTGCATATCCAGGATGTTAAGTGATTTAGTAGGCCTATTGATGATCACTTCCAAATACAAGTTTAGAGTTTTTCTTCCCCGGGTGATGATGTACCTCTATTTACATTGAAATTGAAGTGACTGAATACGTGTCGCTTAAAGCTCTAGTTGAGTGTGGGGTGTCGAATGGATATATTTGACGCTACTCACTACAGGGCCATGGGATCAAGTTCGCTATGAGCTGGGCATCTTCTACAAGGATTCGACTGCACCTTGCAACAGGCGCATGCAACATACTAAACAACATCTCGTGGAAGTTAGGATGCGCTAGAATAAGAATATTGTGGTGGAGTGGGATTCGCTAAATTGCTGATGCAATCCCGACACTTCACTGGCGTCCAGAAGAACGACTTTTGGACGAAGTACCCCGGTTCTGTGCCTTATACGCACCTGTGTACTCGTCGGTAGGGCGGGTTGCATACTTTTGTAACGGGGCTAGAATAACCCGTACTTAGCGTACA